GAAGTTACGTCACTTGCTCAGAGTCACGTAGCCAGGATTGTGTTAAAGATAGGACTGGAACTCAGGTCATCTTGGGTTTCAGCCTCATACTCTCTCTGCCATGCCAGGCTAACTCGTACCCATCCAGTATCCTTGTCCAAATCAGAAATAAAAGTCATTGTCTGATAAGCCCTGTTGTTGAGGAAGACATTATAGGTCTCTGTGGCCATCACTCTATCACTCTGTTACAGTAGTGCAGAGGTCCAGTTGATGTGGATGGTTCTTTCGTAGGCATATCCCAGCCCATAAATGGCTGCCCATCTCGTTTGGGTTCTCTTGGATGTTCAGCCCAAAGGAACGACCTTACGTAGAGAGGACCTTCCTTGAATTCTCTTGGTATCCCAAGGTATTGGCCATGGGTTCATTCTCATTCTTCCCACACTATCAGCCTATGTTCTTTTTTAGGCCTACATTTATTTGGTGACATCCTTCATGCTGCTTCTCCTTTATAATCTTTGCCTACTTTGACTCACCATATATCTTGGCTCAACTTGGTCTCAAGGAGTATGTTATATTTCATGACTCAAAGACATTAACCCCATTGCAAGAGTATTTGCTTTCCATCATTTGGAAAATGGCTCATATAAATATAATGAAATGTAATTGTGAAGATGTGGTGAAGTTGAAGAGCTCTGTCTGTCAAGAAGGACTTGTTAAGTGCACGTTCTGTGTGCCAGGCACTGTGCTAAACACTGAGGAGGTGTAGTGCAGAGAAGCTGAGCAGCGAGACTTGGAGAAACTGATGCAGAGTGAAATGAGCTACCTGCACCTTTAGCTCCAGTGCTTTAGTGGAGAGGATTTTAAAAAAGAAACAGAAAGCAGTTTAATTAGAATCATCAAGTCATCGTGATCCCAGAGGAGAGTTGGGACAATGATCTTCTCTCCTTTTTCATGCCAGAGGTGGGAGACTGTGGGCATGGAATACTACGTATATTATCAACCTTGGTTGATGTGCTGCTTAATTTTTCTAAATCGCTTTTTTCTTCTTTGTTAAAATACCTTGTTGGTTGTAGCAGGGGAAGGGGATATATTAAAAAATGGAGGTAATATAAAAACAAAAGCTATAAATAAAGATATGGGCCTTAGTTTCAGGGAAAATCTTGTAGTCGTTAAAGGAAGTTTGAATTCCCTGTGAAGGTAGTCTAGTCACATTCCTTCTGGTCAGTTCTAGGCCCATTTGTATTGTCTAAGACATGAATTATCTTTGCATTTTGTTCAAATACACACCATACTTGGATATTAATAAGGCATTCTTCATCAGTTTGGCTCTTCATGTCTGGACAGTTTGGCTAAAATCTTTCAAGTGATTATGGATCTCAGTTAGAAGGCTCTCTGGAGCTCAATGCAGTCAGCCCAGTATCATTTGCAAAAGAGAGATATTTGGTCGACATCATCCATACAGAATCCTTGTTCCTCTTGGACTTTTCATGGGTGCTTCACTAACCTTCCTTTCAGCAGTACATCCTAGAATTTTGCTAGGAATCCAAGTAATCTCATTGACCTTTGCTTTTCATGTGACCATATGTGAAAACCAGTAACCGTATGTCTTCTACATTTTTCTTCTTCAAACTAAAGATAAGTACATATTTTTTTAGAGCTATAAGGGACTTGAGCAATCCCCAAGTCAAAACCCCCTCATTCTATAGATAAGCAAACTGAGACTTAGATTTAAATGCCTTGCGTGGGTTCACAAAGCTAGTAAGTATCTCAGGTGGAATTCAAATCCAGGTCTGAGACTCCAAGTCAAATGTACTGCTATCAACTATGTTCCACTCTGCTTCACAGTTCCTCTAATTACTTAACTTGCTCCACATACGATGTTGCTTCTAGTCACTCACTGTCCTTTTCCTTCTCCTCTGGGAGTGTTGGACAGTCACTCAGAAGCATTTAAGGGCCAAGCATTGTGCTGAACATTGGAGATACATAGAAAGGCAAAACACAGTCCCTGCCCTTAAGGAATTCACAATGGAATGTTGAAGACCACAAGCAAACACATGTACAAACAAGCAATATACAGGATAAATAAGAAATAATGAACTGAGAAAAGGGACTCAAATCAAGAGGGATTGGGAAAGGCTTCTTGTAGGTGTAATTTTAGCGGGACTTGAAGGAAGTCGGGAAAGCCTGAAGGCAGGCAAGAGGGAGAGCATTTCAGGTATGGAGGATGGTTAGAAAAAATGCCTAGAATGGTGAGATGGAGAATCTTGTTTGTTGAACGGTCAGGGGGCTGGTGTCACTGAATTGAAGAATATATGGTTTAAGAAGACTGGAAATGTGAGGCCAGCTAGGTGGCCCAGTGGATAGAGCACCGGCCCTGGATTCAGGAGGACCTGAGTTCAAACCTGGTTTTAGACACATAACACTTATTAGCTCTATGACCTTGGGCAAGTCACTTAACCCCCATTGCCCAACCAAAAAAAAGAAAAAGACTGGAAATGTGAGGGAAGGGTTAGATTGTGAAAGATTGGAGTTTATGGGACTGATAGGGTAGGACCAGTGCTATAGAAAAATATAGAAAAATTTGACTGTGGTATGGAGGTTGGACTGATGTGGTCAGAGACCGGAGGCAGGCAGACCCCTCAGAAACCATTGCAATAGTTCGGGGTGAGGACCTTCACCAGGGTTGGGACTGTGTCAGAGTAGAGGAGTGGGGCATATTTGAGATATATTGCAAAGGTAAAATCAACAGGCCTTTGTAACAGCTTGGAAATGGAGGGGGTGAGAGAGAGTGAGGAGAGGTTGTGAGTCTGAAGGATTGGGACAAAGATATTAATTAAATCCATGAGACCTGATGAAATCACTAAGTGGAATACTAGAGATGGAATATAGAAGAGGGCCCAGGACAGAGCCTTGTGTGACACTTACTGTTGGAGGGTATGACCTGGATGAAAATCCATCAAAAGGAGACAAAGTGATCATATAGGTAGCAGGAGAGCCAGGAGAGAGGGGTGTCCCAAAAACCCAAAGAGAAGAGAATTTCAAGGAGGGGAAGGCAATTAACAGTGTCAAAGGCTGCAGAGAGGTCAAGGACAATGAGGAGTAGAAAAAAAAGTGATTGGAGTTGGCAGTTAATTTAGGAGAGAGCATTTTCCTTTGAATAATGAGGAAAGAACCTGGATTGTATGGAGATAAGAAGAGAGTGAGAAGAAATAATATGGAGACACCTATTGTAGATGGCCTTCTCAAGGATGGCTACAGCTTTTCAGTGTCCCTTGCAAAAGGTGATTAAACATTCTAGTGCCGAGTACTCTTACCTTGGTCATTATATTTCTTTAGTGTAGCCTGAAGTTGTATTAGCTTTTTTGGCTTCTATATCACCCATCATATTAAACTTGCTACAACTCTTGTCTTTTTCTTATAAATTCCTATCTAACGTTGTCTTCCATATCTTGCACTGGTGCAGATGACTTTTTGAATCCAAGTGTAGAGCTTTGCAGTTATCCCTATTACATTTTATTTTGTTAGAATAAGCCCTTTGTTTTAGCCTGTTAAGATTTTTCTTTTTGATTCTTCACTCTGGGTTCCAGCCTGAGAGCCTGATTTTTTTCAGCTTCTTATCTACAAATTTAGCAGCAAACGTACATAGCCTCTGTGTTATCATCACAGTTATTAATAATGCTGTGAATAGAACAAGATCCAAGAACAAAGTCTTTTGGTATGCTCATAGAAGCCTTCCACCATGTTGACATTAATTAATTAACTTAAAATGTTTGCAACCATTCAGTTATTTATGACTCTATCTAATTGTCCTTTAATTTATATATTTCTCTATTTTCTGTAAAGATAGGTAAACTTTTCTGAATGCATTGCCACAATCAAGATACACTATGTCTGTATAACTCTATAGATCTAGTTAGGAAGGGAAGAAGAATTTATACAGAACCTGTTATATTCCAGCCACTGTACTAAGCACTTTTTAATATCATTTGATCCTCACAACAACCCTGAGAAATAGGTGCTGTTGTCTGCATTTTATGTTTGGGGAAACTATGGCAGACAAGTTAAGTGACTTTCCCAGGGTCACCCCCTGGTAATCTGAGGTCACATTTGAACTCAGGTCTTCCTGCCTCCAGGCCCAGCATTCTATTCACTGAGGCATCTAACCCTAACATTCTAAGACAGTCAGAGTTGGAAATGGCATAATTTGTTCTTAATGAACTTATCACTTTCCTTTAAAATATTTACAAACTGCCAGACTGGCAATCAGCTCTTATTGGGAGACAAGCTTACCATACCCAGTGTGTGGAATCTACCTTCTTTCTGTTTGGGGGGATGTTTCTCAGCACCAGTATTTTGTCAGCTCTTCTGTTCTTGCAGATTACTCAGAGATGATCAGCATCATTCAGAGGTAGAGCATCATGTTCTTCCAATAGTCCATGGTGTAATTCATGGTAACCAAGAGGTGAACTTTGGGCTCTATGGCCTTATCATCCATCACTTTACCTATCTTGGACTTCAATTCCTAGTAACCATTTTTGGTGTTCTTCTTTTGGTGTAAGGATCTCTTTCTAGGTAGAAAAGATGAAGAAAACTGGACATTTCAGTTTTATTTTTAATTTTGATTACTGAATACATCTTCATTCAGCAGCAGACAAGACACTTAAAAGTGGATGATATATTAAAATAAGATAGAAAACTAATGTCTATAACTTAGTTTTCCTTTGTACTCTGTGAAAAATAGTGAAGTTGAATTTATTTCTCATTAATTTTTGGCCAAACTATAGATGAAGCATAAATGAATAAATGGACTGCATACAGCTTATGGTCTTTAATCTTATTGCTGAAAGACTTCCATTCCATTGAAATTGCATTAGAGTTTTACTTAAATCCATTAATTTTAGCCTCATTCTTATCCCTGCCCATAACAATTACTTTTGCAAAAGAAGATGCACATTGCTTATATACTCTATATGTTTAACAAATATTACATAATCTTATTTTATCTTGTTTGTTTTTTCCAGGTTTCTGTTGCAATCTGTTTTGTTTTAATGTTTGGAAAAAGCACGTATTTGTCATCTTATTTCGCCTCCTCTTTGATAATAACATGGGTAAGTATTTGCTCAGCTAGTATAGTTTTTTCCCCCATTAAACAGAAAATATTTTTAACCCAGCCTTAGGAGATGTAATGGAGAGTACAGTTTCTTATTTTTTCATTAATAAAGCAGGAATTTCCCAAATAAAGTCTATTTCCTTTCTCATCTTGGCAAAACATGCTTAACAAAACCTGCCTCATTAAGCTACCAGTATTAAGACACCTTATTAAGATACTGTCACATCAGTCACCTATATCACTTACTCTTAGGATGTTGCTATTGCCTAAAATATTTGGAAACTCTGCTTTTGAAATCGGCTATTTGAAAAAGCCATTCAGAGAGTGAGTATGGTGAGTGATTAAGTTAGTTAATGATGTCTTTGGTCAAAAATACAGTCATGTAATGAAATGAGTATTAGAAAGAGAGCTGGCTTTGGAATCATGGGAAACTGAGATTGAAATCCTGCCCCTAACAATGACCAGGTTGTCCTGTGAACAAGTTACAATCCCCTTTTAGCTCAGTTTTCATTGTCTTTAAAATGGGCAATCAGAGTTGTAGCTTACTCTCCCAAAACGTTATAAGGATCAAAGAAGATAATTGTATTATCTGTAGTGTGCTTTTTAGCCCTTTCAGGTACAGTGTAAATGTCTTTTTGAATAGCTCTGAAGGCAGGGTCAGATATGTTTGATTAATGGCATTACACTTGAATAAAAATGCACATTTTGAAGTATGCACTCTGGTGTGATATATTTCAAGTGTGCAAAGGGCCCCTCTAACAGATATGAGAAAGATGGTGAACCTATGGTTATAGCATTGGGTTTTACATGGTCCATGGGTATGGTGTGGGATGACTCCCTCAACCTCACTGCCTTTTGGCCTCTTAGGAGATGCCATTACTAGAGCCAGCCAGAGCACCTTCTTAATGTCTCATCTGCTTTTTTGCTTTTCGAGGCGGAGCTCCCCTGACTACCTCCTATGCCATCCCACTTTGATGGAGTGACCTTTGAGGAAAAGGCCCCAGAGCTCCTATCTACTAAAAGACAAGCTGATTGATTGGCTATAATTTTACATCTAGTAGTTACAGAACTGCCCCCAAAAGATAAATGCTCTTGTCAGCAGCATCCAACTCATTATCACACAGTTTTATTTTTCCCCACTAGCAGATTTTTCATGTGTAGTATTCCAAAGAAGTTAGAACTGAAGGAGGAGTTACTGGAGGGTAATAAAGAAGGGAAGAACAATTATATACCTTTTTAAACCCTGCAGTAAGTCTAACGTGTTTTTTGTTCAGTCATATCCAACTCTCTGTGACCTCATTTGGGGTTTTCTTGGCAGAGGTACTGGAGTGCTTCGTCATTTCCTTCTCCAGCTCATTTTACAGATGAGAAAACTGAGTCAAACAGGGTTAAGTGATTTGCCCAGGGTCACACAGCTGGGAAGTATCTGAGGCACTCAGGAAAATGAGTCTTCCTGACTCCAGGCCTGGCACTCTAACCACTGAGCAATCTGGCTGCCCCAAGTATAAAATATATCCAAGTGCTAATTAAATTTTCCATTTTTCTGTTATGTAATTCTCTCCCTCTTTCTCTCTCTCTGTCTCTCTCTCTCTCTCTCAAGGGTTTCATGAAAAAAAGAAGTAAAGTCCAAAAATTGCAGTCATCTCAGTATACTATATGGGTAAGGTTTAATGAGTTTTAACAGTTTTTTTAAAAATCATCTGTTTTAATTAAATGCCATATTGCTTTAAATGTAATTTATTTAGCCAGTACCATACTTTGAAAAAAAAAAACTTAGATTACAGAATGCTACCTATCAAGAAGCAATAACGAGGAGAGATTAGCAGTATTTGCAAATAATTTTTCCATTTATTGCTTTGTCTTTCCTTTTCCATTCTCTGCATTTCCGCCATGTTGCTCTGTTCTTCAGTTTTTTTCATCCCTTTACTTCCTTTTGAATACACATATTGCTCTTCCATAGCTTATTAATTTTTTTCCTCTCACCTACTCTACTTAGTTTCTTGGTATCCTTTGGGTTTTGTTCTGCCTTTTCCCATTTTCATTTTATTTACTATATTACATTATGCCACCTTTATATCACCTTTCCTCTACTCTGCCTTATTACATTAGCTTAACTCCAGTCTTTCATCTTCCTTTCACTCCACTAAAAATGAACAAATATTTGTCTGCCTTTACCCATACTTTGCTAGAATGTATCTTTGGCAGCCAAAATAAGTATGTTGCTATAGAAATTATTACCAAGTTAGATTTTTGTCAGACCTAAATTTCTGCCTAGTGACAATTAAATTCTTGGAGAATATGTCAAGATTATCTCAAATCATTCCCAAATACAAGAGTAATACAACCAGAATCTTAGAACTGGAAGGAACCACAGAGATCATTCAGACCACCTTTTCCCTTGATTCAGTGCAATGATGCTTGAATATACACACACATATATAGATATATACTTTCCCTAACAAATTCTACTCTTGGTCTTTGTTTTTATGTCTGTGTTTATCTGTCTCTTATTTCCTATCCCTCCTGACTCCTCTACTGTACTACTGTACCTCGCCCTCCTGTTACTTAACTTACTGCCCCCCAAGGATCCCTCCCTTATCCTCCCATTCCCATAAACCTAAACGCCCTTCTGTATGCCATACCAACTTCAACTACTTAGCTTTACAAATGATCTGATAACAGCAATAAGTTTAGTACATATACTGGATAAGGCACTGTTCTCATAGTTAGGAAACCCTGCCTGTGAGACCCTAGACAAGTCTCTTCATCTCCGTGAAACTCGGTTTCTTCATCTGTAAAATGAGAAGGTTGTACTTGATGGTCTCTTAGGTCCTTTCCAGCTCTAAATTGGTGATATGATTCTGTTATTATTATTATTATTATTAATATTAATAACAAAGATTAGACAACTAAGAACTATTGTTCTTAGGTGAGAATACAGATTTCCAATATTTTTTGCATTTTACTGAAATTCATTACCCAGTTAGGGAAGGCCTGATTTTTTCATATGGAAATGCCATAAATAACATTTATGATGAGTACCATAGGTGGTAGTCTTGCTAAGTTCATGTACCTTGAAAAGAATCATACTGTCTTATTCACCATATGAATTTAATTAAGTAAAAATATAGTCAGAGTTATTTATTCAGTACCACTGAAGATTTGGTTCTTCAACAGAAGATATTTGCTCATAATTGCTTTTGGAAGCCTATGCTTAAAAAAAATTAAAGTAGAGATATGTTATGTACTTCTGTCTTCTTAAACAGGGTATAATAGACATAATTTAACCTTTTCTTGATGACTTTGGATCATCATTATGAATGTAAATTATTGGATTGTAATACAGTGATCCATTTGGGTCACAGATTTATGAGGCTGCTGGTTGCTACAGTGAGTTGTATTTTAGTTTTTCTAAATCATCTTTCCTTGTCAGACCCTTCTTTGCTCTAACTATACTTGTGTCTAGGTTCTCTCCCACTTCCTCTCCTACTTTTTTAACTTTTATCTTTGTGGACTAGGACAAGTAACTAATGTCATTAAAATTGTCCGTTAAAATCAGTAAGACTGAGTAAAGGCCTGATGAATTCTTCTTCAGAGTATAGAATTCTTTTTTTTTTAATAGAAAACTATTTCCATTACTTTAACAAAACCTTTTCACTTATTTCCAAATTCACAACTCTGTTTCAAGGGTTGAGATTTCTGAGAGACTGATTTTTTCTGTAATAGGAATGTTACTAGATATAGCTATTCAAAAAGAATTGGAAATGTTTTAAGATCTTTTATCTAATATTTTCTTAACAGCATCGAGACACAGAGTATAATCCATAGTCACATTGTAATTTGATTAGACTAGAATTCAGGACTTTAAGCTCCTAGCCCAGATGCTCTTTCTGTTAGATGAATAGGAAATAATTTATACTTGTACAATCTTTCTTTTTATTTTTACCCACATTTTGTGGAAAGACAGATGAGCCAATCAAAGAATATCTGAGGTGATTGTTAACAAAGATGATTTAATTATAGGTCATGACTCTGTCTAGAGAGAATTCTAAAAGAATTAGGATTTTCACCAAAGAAAATAGCGTTACATCTAGGGAAAAAAACCCAACTTCTAGGAATGATTTTTCTTTTTAAGTTTGTTGGGTTAGAATATATTTATTTTTAGTGCTTGTAACAATGGCCTGCATTTGCAAGTCAGACCCTTAAGCAGAGGCTTCCCAGTTTTTACCACATCTAGAAATCCCCTTTGTGTACACTTGGAGTGGCTCTACTTTTCGCTTGTCATAAGAAGGATATATTAGGTTATTTGTTATGGTTAATTTTTAGTACCTGACTTTTTATCTTTTATTTTGTAGCTGATTCAGGGTTTTCTTTGGTGGAGTGGAACAATTGTTTTGAAAATTCTATTATCTCAACTCTTAGCTGTTTCGGATCACGTGAGTGCTTTCCTCTAATTATTATACAAGAGGATTTAGTGGGCATTATTTCATGATTGCTTCTCCAGTATTGCTTCTCTCCTCTGACGCTGCTACCACTCTAGTATGGGCCCTCGTCATCCAACACCTGGACTGTTGCAAGAGCTGGTGCTTCTACCTCCTTCTCGAATCCATCCTCCATTTAGCCACTCCAGTGATTTTCCTAAGATGAAGGTCCAACCCTGTCACCCCACCTCAGTAAATTCCAGTGGTTCCTTGTTGCTTCTAGGATCAAGTACAGAATCCTCAGCTCAGTGTTCAAAGCCTTTCATAACCTAGCTCCCTTTCGCCTTTCCAGGCTTTCCCCACCTCACTCCCTAACATGTACTCTTCTGTCTAGTTGGCTGTTCCACAATCAAGATACTCATCTGTCTGCTCCAGACATTCTCCCTAGCTGTCCTGAAGGCCTGGAAAACTCTCTTCTCTCCTCTCCGCCTACTGACCTCCCTGTTTTCCTTTCAGTCCCAGCTAAAAAGACCTTTTACTATAAGCACCCCTCTCAAATCTAGTGCTTTCACTTTGTTAATTATTTCCTGTTTATCCTGTAGGTAGCTTGCTTTGTGCATATTTGTTTGCTTGTAGTTTTCTGCATTAGATTATAAGTTCCTTGAGGGAAGAGACTGTCTTTTATATCCCCCAGTGCTTAGCACAGTCCCTGGCACATAATAAGTACTTAATAAATGTTTATTGATTGATTGTTGTATTTTTCTTAATTTCATACCAGATTCATCTTAGTGACCTTATAACTGCCAGAATTTTAAGATACTCAGATTTTGACACTTTAATGTATACCTGTGCACCTGAATTTGACTTTATGGAAAAGGAGGTAAGAATTTTTTTTTCCTATTTTTTACCTCTTAGAGGAATCAGGCATTTTTTTCCCCTATTATTCTTTGATCCTAGACCCTCAAGTCTGTGTAGCCTTGTGATATTTGGGGGGAGGGATGAGATGGGGAGAAAATTCGAAACTCAAAATCTTGTGGAAGTAAATGTTGAAAACTGAAATTAACAATAAAAGATTTTTTTTTCCTATTTTACCTTTAGTTAGAGGGATCACAGGCATTTTTTTCCTATTATTCTTTGATCCTAGACCTAGCCTCAAATATTGTAATATTTGGCTTAGTAACTTATATGCATTTTTATTCATTGAGAGGTAAAACTCTCTCAGGAATTAGGTCTAATTGGAAAGGAAGCCAGTCTGAAATAGTGAAAAGTAACAGCTACAGAATATTTTTAAAAGAAATTCAGTGTTATTTCAAATCTTATGTATTGGAATTCTAGTAAACTGATAACAAGGCATTTCCAAGAAGATTTTTGTCAGCTTCTTAGGATAAATGGTAAAGCTCAATTTAAATAGAATTCTGTACTTAAATAGATATTTAAGATCTTGTAATAAAACTCATTTTAAGTGTTTTATATTTTGTTTTTCTTTCTTCAATAGATCTTTATTGATATTTTTTGTTTTTACATTATCTGCATTTCTCTTTCTCTTCCTTTCCCTCTTCCTCTTAAATGTGTTATTAAGCAGATTTTATATCTTAGAATCGTGAAATTAGAGAGTTTAAAAGGTAGCCTTTGGTCATCTTCACCCACTAACATGTACTTATTTCTCAAGTAACTATTTTGTGAAGAATACTATTTGGGGATTGGGTGAGATGCAAGGTAGAAATAATGCAGGGTATTGACCCTCATGGAGTGTATTATCATTTTACAATTGAGGAAGCTAAAGCCCAGACCAAGAACAGATTTGCTTTAAGGTACATCATAAAGCCAGAACAAGAACCCTGGTTTCTTAATTTAGTAGGACAAAAAGTTATTTTATTTACTGTATTTCATTGTGTATCAGAATAACAAGTTTTCAAGGCTATTTAGCCATGATTTTTTCAGTAGTTGTTATTTACTGTTATAGCTGAAGGTTCTATAATTTCATTATCTTAGAGAGTTCCATACACTCTTCTGTGACTTCCAACCCATTACCTATTAGTTGAGTCCAAAGGAGATGTTTAATGTACACAGTTCAAGTGATCTGACCAGGGTCACACAGCTGAGTGTCAGAGGTTGGATTTGCACTCATGTCTTCTTTACTTCTGTCGCTGAGGTCCGTTTATCACATTGCACTGTCCCTTAAGCTCTAAGTTTTATGACTTTTAGGGTCATTGGATCATAGATGTAGAACTGGAAAGAATCTTAGAGAGCAACACTCAAGCAGGCTGACTTTTTAGCCCAATGTTTATGAGTATTAATGGCAACAAAGAATACTACCACAGGTGACAGATTTATCAATGACATCAGACAGGAAAGTTGAGTAGTGTTTGAAATAATAAAGGATAAAATCGAAATAGTGGAAAAGCTGAGCAAAATCCTGATGTTAGGTTTGATGAATATTTCTTACATTCTTAATGATAAAATTAAATTCTTTTATGATAGTTGGACTAGTCAGATTACTGTGTTTATGCAAGGAGATAATGAAATTTCTAATCCATATGTGGTATGGCCTTTTTTCTTACAGGAATTGTTATTGTGGTACTCATTAATGAAAAAAAATACGCACAACTATTTCTCTGTACAAAGTAAAACCAAATTCGTAGACTCTCTAAAATTTCTTGTATTTCAGACTCCACTGAGGTACACAAAGACATTACTGCTTCCAGTTGTTGTTATGATTTCTTTTTTAATCTTTAGAAAGGTAGGTTTTCTCTTTTTCAATTTAGACCCTTGCTGTTCTGCTAAATATATGTAACAGAATGATAGAGAAATGTTATTAGGTTAGAGATAAATGAACCTTCTTGGCTAAAAATAATTATTATTTACTTTTTTATCTTATACACACACACACACACACACACACACACACACACATAAATACACACAACTTCAGTAGAAAGGGCATTTTGTTTTAATGAAAACCTAATGTCTGCCAAGTATAAGCTACAGCAACAGAGACCCCTTTTTAATAGCTATAAACAGCTTAGAACCAATGTATATAGTCCTTTTCTTATTACACGTGCTCACTATTATCATAACAGAATAGGATCCCTTGAAAATGACATGAAATCCAGCCACCACAATTTTCTGCCACGTAAAAAGGTTATCAGAAAGCCTAGTGAACATTAGAGAGATGAAATTAATGTTTTATACCTGTGTGAAAATTGATGGTAGGCTAATAACATTTCTCCACCGTATCGTTCTGTTGAGCAGTAGCATCTGTAGAAATAAATTAAAGATTATTTCCATGTTTCAGGCATTTGTTGTTTTCTTAGTTTCACACTTAAACTTTCAGGATGATCTAGTTTGATCAAACGTCTTGCCAAGCTTGATACATACTTGTTTTTTCTTTGATTTGCTTTCTGATTTACAAGGCAGTATTACTTTGTAGTCTTCACCAACAACCTTTACAAATGAGTTTATATTCTAAAAAGTATTACCCTTGGTTGTCATGTTTTTCTGTTTGGCAAGAAGAGAATTAAAAAAAAACCTAAACCATCTATTCAGTCTAAAATTATAGTTATGATTCATAGTTCACTATGAGTCTCTTAAAATGTATCTGAATTCAAGAGACAAGACAATTTTTTATTTTCTGAAGTGGTAGAACCTTCCACATTTTTTTTAAGGCAATTGGGGTTAAGTGACTTGCCCAGGGTCACACAGCTAGTAAGTATCAAGTGTTTGGTCCAAGGTTGGATTTGAACTCAGGTACTCCCGACTTTAGGGCCAGTGCTCTATCCACTGCGCCACCTCGCTGCCCCCTTCCATATCTTTTAGAGATATACCTGGGTAGGCCCATTCTTAGAACCCACCTTACATTGGACACCAGATTTTGAAAGTAGCTATTCTTGTTGAAATATGAAGGAAGGACTCAATCAGACCTGGTAAACTGAAGAGTGGGCTTCTGCACCTCTAACTCCAAGCATATCCATGGAGCTAGAGCCATCCGTGTGTTTGTATAAATCTTCAGTCTTGAGCAGATTCCACTACAGGAAGACGGCTTTGTTCCTAGGAGAATTCTTTAGCTTCTCAGGAGAGACATTTGAGAGAGACCTGTCTGACTCTTGCTGCTAAAGTGCTAAAGTTAGGATTTTTTTTTGGCTTGGCTTTGCATATTTGTTATAAGAGTTTAGGTATTGTTTTGTATTTTTTCCCCTCTTAGAGGAGGAAGAGGAAATAAATGTTTGATAATTGAAAAGAATAAGAATTTTTGCAGAAGTGAAAAATATAAGGCAAAAAATGAAGTGATAACTTGCTAGAGATTCTTAAACAACTTGCTCTTAATGTATTTCATGATTTCAAAAAAACCCAGTATTCTGTGGTGCATGACTGCTTGAGCACTGGTCCTTCGTTAGTGGTCCTGAAGATTTCCTTCCATTCAGGTTCTCAGCACCATGAGAGAATCACAAGGAGAATCTTTATCTCTGTACAGAGGCATTGGGGGCAAAATGATGGCCAAGGCAGCAACCCGAGACCGTGTGATAGGCTAGGAAGAGTTAAATGCCTTCTGTGTACCAGGCAATGCTAAGATATAAACGAGCTGGAAGACAGCAAGCAAAGTGAGAAACAAACCACAGAAGAATGTCTAGAGAGTAAGAGGGGTTAGGGAAGGCTTTCTGTAGACGCTGGGACTTGAGGGATTTGAAGGATGCCAGGAGGCAGACGTGAGGAGGGACTCCAGAAAGCCTGGAGTCTACAAGTAGAGCACCTTGTTCATGGAACGGTGAGAAGGCCAGTGTCATTGGATTGAAGAGTGGGTTGGGTGGGGAAGGGAGAAAAAAGGTAGGGAGGGCAGCAGGCTATGAAGGGCCTTGAATGCCAAACGGAGGATTTTATATTTGATCCTGGAGGTGAGAGGGAGGCACTAGAGTTTATTGAAAAAGAGGGTGACATGGTCAGATCTGCACTTTAGGAAAATCAGTTTGGCTACTGAGTGGATGGATTAGATTAGACACATTTGTGGCAGGCAGACCCCTGTAGTCCAGGTGTGCAGTGGTGAAGGCCTATGCCGTGGTGGTGATAGTGTCAGATAAGAGATGCTGGGTCATATATGAGAAAAGTTATGAAGCTGGAATTGTCAGGACTTGTCAGCAGGTTAGATGTGGGGGAAGGGTGAGAGATAGTGAAGTATCAAGTCTGATACCTGGGGTACGAGGTGGATAGAGGTGCTCTCAATAGTAATAGGGAATTTGGAAGGGGAAGGATTTAGGGGAGGAGATGGAGTTCAGTTTTGTGTGTATTTATCTTGATATGTCTGTTAGAGGTGGCCATGAAGAAGTGAGGGCTGAATGAGTTGATTTGAGAAGGATCAGCATAGAGATAGTAACTAAATCTGAGGAGATCACCAGCTGTGATGGAAGGAGAAAAAAAGAGGGCAGAGGATCGAGCCCTGTGGGATGAACCATGTTGGGCTTGCTCAGGTGCTTAGGAGAGCCTTAGACGATCCACAGTTGTGCCCAGAGTGTAGTACTAGCCTCACTTTGTGCCCTACCCAGCTCCAGGTTTTTTGTGTGACTTTGGGCAAGCCACATTAACATCTGTGAACCTCAGTTTTCTTACCTGTAAAATAAGAACTATTTACCTGTAGGTTATTGTAGAAATCAAATGATATCATCTGTGTGGAAGTACTTTTGAAAAAATAAGTGCAATTAGTCACATTTATAAGCGACTCTTTTTTTTTTCCTTTTTCTTCTTTTGCTTTTGGACTTAAGATTTTTAATTTAGAAAATGGTGTTAAGTACTGCTTAAGAAGGTCTTAATCTTGGGTTCTGTTCATAGGTGATACCTGACATTTTTTACATGTTGTCTGCAGGGGAAACTTGTATCAGGTAATTAAAAATATGTGTATATAGTTTAACATTTGTGCCTCTTCCCAACTAATATAAATAGTTTATGATAGATGTTTGAATTATAATGACTCTTTAAAATTAACCCTAATAATTAGAGAGGAGGCCTGTGCCAAACTTGAAAGCAGTCTCTGAGAAAATTGATCCTAGTCTTTGTTTTGCTTTCTCATATGTTTTTGTGTTGGTATTTCCTGTGTGTTTATATTTTATAGTTTTGAGTTTGAATTGACCCTGAACTGTGTAATGAGTGTTCATAAAAACTAATAAGGATACTTATATTCTAGCACCAACAAGTATCTCAGATGTCTTTTTTTTTAAAAGAAACTTTAAAATTTAAATGGTTGTTTAAAAAATGCCTCATTGCTTTATTGAAGGCCTCTTTTGATAATGTCTCAATACTTTCTCAATCTTAATTTTTCTTGAGTATTAAGAAATTTGAAGTGCCTATAACCTGAATCCTGCTGTGCTAGGTGTTGGACTTCATTCTTTACCTTAAGGAGATTTGAATCTGATAGGAAAAGTACCACATGTATACAAATAATCGTATTGCTAGGTCAGGGGATTTGGAGAGGTCATTTTAAAAAGTCAGTACAAGGAAGGTAACATATCTTCTTCCTAAGGATGTCAGAGGAGGTTGGACCTGTGCTGGGTCTGGAATGAAAGTCAAAGACAAAATGAAGTGCTTCCTGTGTTATGCTTTGTGTAGGATGGCTAGAGACTTATTTAAATCTTTCTGGAATACATTTTTTTAAAATAACCTTTGTTATTAGGTTTTTCTTTGTTTCATAATAGCATTTCATTTAAATTTCTACTTTCAGACTTTATTAAATTCTTTTAAAATTTGGTCTGAATTAAACACATATATGTATAGTATTTTCCAAGATTATTTTCTGCATTTTAGTGGTAAATTTTAAAAGACATCTGAATCTAAAAGGAAGAATCTGAAAGGAAGAATGTCTTAGTAGAAGCCTGGCACCAATACTGACTAAATGTGTGATACTGGGCAAATTCTTTGACTTCTCTGGGTGCTTTTAAAATAAGATTGTTGGACTAACCTGTCCTTTAAGATTGCTTTTTAGCTTTAAATCTGTGACCCTATGATGCAATTCAGTATGTTGTGATTAGCATTTAAAATTCAGAGTTGAAAAAGATTTGTTCCTCCAAATCTGAGCCAACTATAGGTCAATGCCATTCTAATCTCTAGTGGGAGAAATTATAGAATGGCTTAACTGATTTTATTCATTTGTTCATATAGCAGTTATGGGTCAGGGCTGTTAAGATATATTGGCTTGGAGACCTGTGAATATGATCCAGAGGGTTTCAGACTGAAAATGGAGTGGAGAAAGAACAACAGGGTACAACATGTGGAGAAAAATAATCCACTGGGTAGTTCAGGGTCTGGAATTCATAGCCTGGGTGGATCAGTGAAGGAACTAGAAAGGACTACCCCTGAGGACTCAGGGACATAAAGGCTATCTTTAGATAGGTGAAGAGCTGTCATTTGGAAGTGTGATTACACTGGATTGGTTCTGGAGAACAGAACTGGGCAGATTAAAGTGCTTCTTGGAGAAAGGCTGGTGGAGGAAAACCTTCCTCAGAATTAAAGCCATTCAAGTGGTATTCATGTCTCATTGGAGGTGTCTTTCTAAGCAAAGACTGCATGAGCACGTGTCAGATGTGTAGAGGTTAGACCACATGGTCCCAGAAAATCGTTCTCGCTTTGTGAAGGCATAAATTGATGCCATGCTTCACAGATTCACCTAGGTCATGAAGCAAGAGAGCAGTCCCTTAGAGTCTGGCTGCGTTACCAGAATCTTGTGAAACTATAAATAACAAATGTTTAAATCTATGAGATTTATAAAATGTGGGCCAGATCTCATCAGGGGAAATTTTGGATGGATAAATAGAAAGATTTACACTTTAAAGAGCTGACTGCACACACATAGGAAAAGTTGGGTATTCAACCCCAGTTCAGGTCAACGAAGGTGAAGTGCTTTAGTCTGTGCCAGAAATTAAGCTGGCCTCTGAGGATACAAAGACAAAAAACCAGTCTTTACCCTCTTTCAGAAGTTCAGGTTGGGGGCAGCTAGGTGGCACAGTAGATAGAGCTTTGGTCTTGGAGTCAGGAGGACCTGAGTTCAACTGCAGACTCAGACACATGATACTCACTAGCTGTGTGACCCTGGGCAAGTCACTTAACCCCTATTGCCTTGCCAAAACAAAAACAAACACACAAAAAACAAAGTAAAAAAAAGAAGTTCAGGTTGCTTGTTCACTATGTTAGTGGATTGTAGGCAGCCAAAAGGAAAAGTCTTAGGCCACATTAATTGAATGAGAGTGTCTATAATAAAGGAAGTGATGGTCCCATGGTGCTTTCCTTTTGTTGAACCACATCTGGATTATTGTGTTCAGCTCTGTATGACACGTTTTAGCTAATGACGAATTGTAGAGAAACCGGAGAGGGAGCAACCCGAATGAAGAGGAAACTAGAGACCCCACCATACAAGAATCGGTTGAAAGAACTGGGTATATTCAGCGTAGAGAAGATTTAGGGCAGGGGGAGTGATTATTATTTTCTTTAAGCATTTCAGAGCTTGTCACATGGAAGAGTTTTCTTCTTGTTGGCTCTGGAATACTGAACTATCACAACTTTTAGAAATTGGAGAGGTGACATCTTTCTCATTTGGATGCCCCGAGGGGGCCAGGAGTCTCTAGTACTCCACTGGAGATGCTTCAGGGGCCTCTGAATAACATAAAACCCTGACCTGGGGTGATCTGTAGAGGTGAGAGAGGACAGGAACCTGCTGGACATAAGCACAGACACACCAGGAGAGGTGAAATATAAAAGGAGCTGAGGAAAACAAGGCCAGAACCAAACAGGGCTAACCATGATCCAAGAATTGATGAGGAAGCACAAAGTCTGCAAATCAGAAACTTAGGCTACAGATATGAGTAAACAGAAGACAGCAGACACTATGAAGAATTATTGTGTGTCAAAGGACAACCAAGAAATAAACCCAGAGGAAGAGAGTGACTTCATAAGAACTGTAAGCAGAGAATCAGAGTTAAAAAAGGACTTGTCCAGAAAGTCCACAAAAGTACCTGGAAGAAATGGAGACATAAAAATGAAATTGTCAGTGAAGCAAGAGTTCTGGAGGTAAGAATTGGAAATAGAATAAATATTGTAGAAAGAAGGTGCAAAACTTTGAGCAAATAGCAGACTCTGAAAATTAGAATGAAGCAAACAACTCAACAAGAGGAAATATAACAATCAGGCAATAAACATTTATCAAATACCTACCACTAAAATCATAAGGCTTAAAAATAGAAGAAAACAAGAAGGTCTCTACTATCAAAAACAACTGACCTGGAAAACAAGGCAAGGAGAGATGAGTTAAGAATCATTAGACTCCCGGAAAGCTGTGAAATGATAGCAGCCAACCAACCCTGGATACCGTATTTCAAGAAACTGTAAATAGAAAATGTTGACATCAATTAGAAACAAAGGGCAGATTGAAACAGAAAGAATCCCCATGTCACCTCCTAAGATACCTCAAATGAAAACTCCCAGCAATGTTACAGAGCTACCAGGTCAAAGAAAAAATATATGAAAGAACTGTAGTCAGGATTACACTAGAACTGGCAGGGATTAGAAAAGGGACCTTTAATGGAAGAGAGGACTTTGAAGTGACAAGTGTTCCTTCCAATTTCTTATGTCTTCGTGTTTCACAGAGTGAGTTAAAGTAAGATAGAGGGCTTAGAGGTGGTTTTAGTCTTAAGGGAGAAAGAAAAAAAAGAAAGTAAAAACTAATCCACTAGGGAAAGAAATGAGGAAGGAAGGGTAGAACTTATCAGTTCAGTTTAATTAACATTGATTTAGCACCTTCTTTGTGCTAGTGCTATGCTAAGTACTAGGGATACAAATAAGAAAAAGAAAGACCCCTGCCCTCTAGAAGCTTAAAATTTCATGGAGGAGTAAGGCAGCATATAAAAGGAAACTGAAAGGTAGCGGGGAACAAGGGAAATAAATTTTTGAGAATTTACTCATTTTCAAAATTATGTACATAAAGAGTATGAATACATGGAGGAAGGGGTGTGAAGAACAGGGATCACATTATCCTCATTCTTATCTTCATTGGATAGAGGAGGATTGAATATGTGACAGTTTTGGTGTTTAAATTCAATAAAATCTGGAAATAGGCAAGGGGGTGTGGCCTAAGAGGGCAGGCAGAATTAGGGAGGGAATCACCAGAACAACTTTAGTTCTGATGGATGGATCTTAAAGGGGGATTTAACCAGAAAGAAAGAAGAGGGTCTTGGTGAGGCCAAGAGAGGAAGGTCAGGGGTCTAGAAGGAGATCACATCCAAATTATAGGTGACTAATGTCGCTCTCATTCCTTTTCTTTTACCATCTTTTTTATAAAGAGGAGAGAAGGGAATAAAAAAAAAAGAATATAAAATATAGAATAGTCATAATATGAAGATAAATGCCATGAAGTCAGCATTAAAAGAGAAAAAGATAGCAGAATAGATTAAAAAGTGGACACCAACAATATATAGTTTACAAGAAGCACACTTAAATATTCATACACAGTTAAAGTGAGGAGCTGAAGCAGACCTTATTATGCTTGAGACCAGTTCAAAAAGGCAAACAGTCATGATTTCAGATAGGGCAATAGTAATTAAAAGAGATAAAGGAATTAAATTATACTTAAAGGCATAATTAAATAATATAAATATTCTATATGCACTAAATGGCATAGCCTGTAATTATTTTGAAGAAATTTAATCAAATTATAGGGAGAGATGGAAAATAAAACTATAATGGTTGGGAGGCCTCATTGTGTCCTCTTTCAGACCTGGACAAATAAAATGAAAAGATAAGTAAAGGATATGATTAGAATTTTAGGAAAGTTAGGTGTGGTAGATGACTGGTGATTACTAAATGGGAATAGGAGCATACACATTTCTTAGCTGTGGAGGAACTATAGGAGATTACAGGAGTGAGATTAAATGGAAAGTTAATGTATATTAAGTTACATAAGTTGAAAAGCTTTCACATAAGAAAAATCAGTGTAGTTAAAATTATAAGAAATAGTTAACTGGGAAAACTGCTTGCCTTAAGTTTCTCTAATAAACATCTTTTTTTTTTTTTTGGTGAGGCAATTGGGGTTAAGTGACTTGGCCAGAGTCACACAGCTAGTGAGTGTTACATATCTGAGACCGGATTTGAACTCAGGTTCTCCTGACTCCAGGGCTGGTGCTCCATCTACTGCGCCATCTAGCTGCCCCCTCTAATAAACATCTTATCCAAAATATATCAGGAGGTGACATCATAAGCAAATTAGAAGAGCACGGAAAAAATTAGCTGTCAGGTTTATGGATAGGGGAAGAGCTCATGACCAAACGAGAGAGAGGTTCGCAAAAGGTGAAATGGGCAATTTAAGCCACATAAAATTCAGAAAGTTTTTTCACAGACAAAACTAATGCAGATAAAATGAGAAGAGAAGCAGGAAATTTGGAGGGAGGGGAATCTTTGTAGCAGTTTTCTCTGATAAAAGTCTCATAAGATATATAGGGAACTGAGTCAAATTTGTAAGAATAAGAGCCATTGCCAACTTATCAAAGGATAAGAAATAGGCAGTTTTCAGAGGAATGAATCCAAGCTATCAATGATGAGTTGAAAAAATGAATGTATTGCATTAATTCCAGAAACAGCTTGACCAGGATGAATCAAACAATCTACCCACAGTTCTGGTAAACTTCTCTGAATCAGGTTCTATCTAGACTAGGATGAAGCTTGATCCTTTGAATGAGTCCCAGTGCAGGTAGAGGAGACCAAAGCAAAACTCAGCTAAACACAGGGTGACAGCAATCAGGCCCAACATAGAGGAACAGGACTCGAGCCTAGCAATGGCAGCATTTGAACCAGGGCTCAGCCCAGCAAAATGCTCCCCTCAGATGGCCCAGCACAGGACAGTTCTCAGGTTTCTGATGTGGTGGGTAGCTTATCTCAGCTTTGGCATAGGAAGACTTTGCTCAGCCTTGTACCAGAGGTCAGTGACTGTACCTTTGGCAGCCTTTGGTTCTAGCAAAGGGGAGGCTTTTCTAGGTCCAGTAACTGGGAAACAGAAGAATGGGCAACAGAGACTGTGGGCAACATCACAGACCTCAGTGGGCCATGGGTGGCATGGTCAGCATCATATGTCTCAGCAGTAACAGGCAGTAGAAGTGGGCCCTAGCAGCAGCCTTTTGCTTACTGTTAATTTGGACCTGATGGGGCTGTGTTTTATTGTTGCCAGTATGGTTTGTGTCCTTCTCAGGAAGGACATAGAATACTGGGCATGGTTTTGGGAGGTGGCTTACTTTCTGCTGATGGGGAAGATAAAAATGTTTACCAATTCCTTGTGAAACAAGCAGGGAGGCAATCAGAGGCCTACAAAGGGTCGAAGATTTAAAATTCATTTCCCCTGCCCATGGGGCTCCCAGGGAGGAGAGAGGGACCTAGCTGGTAGGTTGGGGAATATAATTGTACATGATGATTTTCAGGGTCAACCTTGGCACTGGAGAGGCTAAATGACTTCTTAGCTAACTTACTACAGATAACCTTGGGCCACGATAAGGAACAGTGACTATGACAGGTTGTCATCACCTTTGCCAGAGCCCTAATATTCCTAGTGTTGTACCCATTTATATTTAGCATTTTATAGCAGGAGATCCACTGTGAATTACAAAAATTTATCATTACCCACCCCATGTACCAAATCAAGGACTCAGTTTTCTTCAAGAGTCAAAGGGACACCTTGGATTTCTGGTCTTCACTCTGCCTTATTTTGTCCCTCCTTCAGGGGACTGTTAATAATTATAGCAATTAAAAAAAAATAGCTAGCATTTATATACTACTTTAAGATTTGCAAAATGCATTATGCATGTTATTTCATTTGATCTTTACAACAACACTGTGAGTTAGGTGCTATTGTTATCTCCATTTTACAGGTGAGAAAACTGAGATTGAAAGAGTGATTTGCCCAGGGTCACACAGATAGTAGGTGTCTGAAGCAGGTTTTGAACTTAGTTCTTCCTACTTCCAGGTCTAGCACTCTATCCATTGTACCCACCTCATTGCTTCTACATTTTTTTTCCATGTTTCAGTTTTATTTTTTATTTTCTACCCTCAAGGTTGCTTATTTTGTGCGTTTCCTGTCCCTGACATTAGGACCGTCAGTTACTGCCCCAAAGGCACTTAAATGTATAAGGTTCTCCAGACCTTTGGGTCTTGTCTCCAAGGGGTGTGATGTAGTAGGAGCAATATCTATCATGTAGGCTAGGTGTTAAAAAGGTGTTCTTGAAACTTAATTGGTTCAGGGGATTAAGTATCAGATATTTGACCTAGCTTCTGACTGGCCCACATACAAAAGCCAGCTTATAAAGAGACACCAGTTACTCTCCCTTAGCATTGATTGTTGCACCCACATGGCCGACATTCAACTGAGTTAATATTATTTCCTTCCTAAATATTTTATTCATTCTTTGGCTAAATAAACTTCCTCTTCTTGACTGACAGTTATGCTGTGAGTATCTCATTTCATCACAATTCTGAGTCTAATGACCATGCCAGCTTAAATCAGGCCTGGCCTGTCAGAGGTGATTGGAACAGAGGTTCTAAACAAGACATACATTTTTGGACCTGGGAAATGTGTGCATTTCTTTTGCTTGACTATGCTTCCTTGTTATGAAGGAGAGGTTTTAGAACTTTATTTGAAGGGATTTGGGGGAAGGGGTCGTTACAGGGATGCCTAAAACAAGAGAACAAGGAGCATCAACAAAGCACTGTTTCAGTGAGCAGAAGAAAATAAAAGTCCATTTCAAGGGAGTTACAGATGGGGCAGACTTGGGACTGACACCTGGAGCTTACAGTACACTTTGAAAAAGCAAGTATGGGATAGAGACTTGTGGTTTCACACAAACCATCGCTAGGTGTTATCCACACAGAGACTTGACAGCTTCTTGTCAGGCATGTTGTAGAAGCGATTACCATGTGAACCCTGAGCTCCTGTCTCATCTCAAGATTCTCTTTCTTTGATGCACTCAACAACCACTAAGTGCCTAGTTTGCACAAAATGCAGTACTAGGCACGTAGAAGGTGCAAAGAGTATACAGACTAGAAGGGAGGTCCTGACCTATTTACCAGATGATCAAGTAGTGTCATTTTGAGGGTGCAGGAATTCCTTCTTCCAAAACAGTCAAGAACTGAATTGAGAAGTAGTAAGTGGAGGAGGGGCGAGACTTGTTCTGTTTAGCTCTAGAAAGCAAAACCAGGGTGATGAGGAGAAGGTGCAAAATGTAAATTCAGGCTTAATGTCAGGAAAAAGCTGCCTAAGAATTAGAGCTGTCCCAGAGTGAAACAGGCTGCCTCAGGCAGTGGTAGCTGACCCCTCCATGGAGGAGTCTTTGAGGCCAAATGACTACATGTTTTATGTTCTACCGGAGATTCCTCTATTGGAGTTGTACTAAATGGCCTAGAGCTGCCTTATAGTTTTAAAATTCTGTGATTGTGAGAGTTGTCTGAGACTCTTGAGATGTTTGGGGACTTGTCCATGGTCCAGTATCAGAGGCAGAATTTTAATCCTGATCTTCTGAACCCCCAGGTCTAGCACTTTATTATCTTTGTTGCATTGTCTGTCATTTGACATGTCTCTAAGGGGACTATATGTACTTAACTTTTATTTCAAGACCACAGGTGCTATGTAGATTTGAACCCCAGAGGGGTTCAAATCCTGAGTCTGTTAACTTACCTGTTAGGGTATAATTAGGCAGTTCACTTAATGTCATTAGGCTGTATAGTTATTCATTTCTAAAAAGAAGAGGTTGAACTAGTTAGAATCTGAAGTCTCTTCTAACTCTAAATAGATGATCTTACTGTCCTAAGAAAAATCATTTCCAGAAAGAGCATCTGGGGAGGTTTTCTGGACAATTGATGTGGAACTTATGTTTTTTATTTGTCTGGTTAAAAGATTTTGAAACAGTATAATTCTCCATAGAGAACATATGTGATCATTTCATTAACAACTATTTCTAGATATTATTCCTTTTAATTGATCTTCATATTAAGTTTATTGATTACTTATATTAAACTATAAGTAGTGTATAAGTAATACATTGAAGATAGGCTTTCAGAAGCCTAATATATGTATTACTTGTTTTAAGGAGAGTCAACTTAAGTCCCAAGAAATATTTATCAATATAAAGAAGGGCCCACAGGGGCATTTTCATCTTCCTTAAGCCTAGCTTAACTGGGCCAGAGGTACTGTCTGACTTGTAGTTTCTAAATATTGAAGTACCTCTAACTGTAGTCCAAGCATGTTTCATAGACTTCTTTTGAAAATTCTTTCTATTCATTGTAGTCTTCCAGAAACAAGTAAATACTTCTCTGCTTAACATGCCTTGATTAAATAAATTTAAAGTTACTGTAATGATTAATTTTGTGACCTATTTATTAGAGCTTTTTTGGCTGTGCTTGTTTGCTGAGGGGTACTTTAAAAATTGAATCAATAGAATGTATTCTTTTAATTCCAGAAAACAGCTTGACCGGAATGAGTCAAAGAATCCACCGACGGCTCTGGTAGGTTTCTCTGCATTAGGTTCTGTCCAGGCTAGGATGAAGCTTGAAGATAGACCTGGGAACGGGGAGGAGATAATGAGCTGTCCTTTAAATGATGCCATTTACTTTCTATCATTAGCTGTGCTTGACTCTATCTTTCCAATAGGGGTGATGTATTTGCATGGATCTCTTTAGACTCTTTTACCTGATTCTTGACCGTTTTTGAGTGGTAGGTTAAGAGGAAAAGTGCAATCAGTGACCATGGAATGGAATGAGATAAACTGGCTTATTGTGGCTTGGCTTCATGATATTTTAGCACTTGGAATAAGCAGCCTAGAACCAGGGCATGGCAACTGTGACAGTAAGGATTGATGACATTCTTTTTCACACGATAATAAGTGCAATTTTCTCCTATCTATCAATTGAGAAAAATTTATAGAGCACCTACTGTTTGTTATTCTACAATACATTATATTAGCCACTTCAGGGATATAAAAATTAACGTAGCACACCATTTCCTACAAATTCCCGATCTTTTTGGGAAAGCAAAACATACACAATTGAAACAATTAGAAAACAGTACTATGTAAAAATTTACATTTTGTAAATGTAGTTTAAATCATACATATACGTACATATAAATATTTATACATACGTGTAAATACGCATTTACAATTTACATGTGTATATACTTGTGTGCTACCCAATCGTGATAGGTAATAAGTGTAACAGAAGTTCAGAGAAGGGAAATAAGTGTGATTGGAGGGTAATATCACAAGACGTTGAACTTATATATTACTAAAAAAGAGAGTCATCATTTGTTTAGGGACGTGAGTAGTTTTTCACTGAATGGTAATAGGTGATGCCTTACAGAACTTGCAGCTGCATGTTGTGGGGACATGTGGTCACTTTAAATGTAAATCTTCTGAGCTACAGTCTAAAATTCATCCCCATAAAAGTTCTACCCCATTCTCGCATCGTGGTGGAGCTAAAATATCTTTTTGATTGAGAGATCCCATTGCTTGTCCAATCTGTCATTCAAGAAGACTTTATTAAGTGCCTGTGGTACTGGTAGACTCTGTACCAAATACTGGGGAAACAAATGCAAAGCTAAAAGGGGTGCTGATTTTGCCTGTTACCTCCAGGTATCAAGGTCAAAGGAAAAAAATCTCATCTCTAAGAAATACTTATAGTAACACTTTTAAGTAACAAAGAAATGGAAACAAAGTAGATGCCTATTTAAATACTTCGTGGTAAGTGTTGCTGTGCAGTGAGAAATGACAAAGATGAAGAATTCAGAAAAATATGGGAGATGTGTATGAAGTACCGCAGAGGGCAGTATGCAGGAGAATGAGACACAGTGAGCAGCAACAGTGTAAATGAAATCATGTGAGCAGTAAAATAAACCTAAACATGAATCTTAATGGCCAAGCAGAATTCTGGGAGAAAGTTGAGGAAATGTACCTTCCTCCTTTTATTGCTGGCTTGAAGGACTATGAGTGTGAGATACTGCGTATCATGTCAGATGCGAGGTGTGGGAGTGGAGAAAGATATTCATAAACAAAATTTATGTAGAAACAAAAGCATATATGAGAAAGAGAATCATGTCCTGTAAACCCTATATCCTTTTTAACAGGGTAACCAAACTGTCAAGTAAATCAGAGAAATGTTATAGATGTAATTTACCTAGATTTTAGCGAAGCATTTGACAAAGTGTGTCATCCTGTTTTTGCGGACAAGCTGGAGAGATGCGAGCTAAATGATAATAAAATTTAGACGGATTTGAAACTGGTAGAGTGTCTGGGCTCAAAGAATAGTCATTAATGGTTCTGTGTCATTGACGTTAGAAAGATATCTCTACTATTGAAATATTCCCTGCTCCCCTGCGCTTTCTAACATTTTTATCAATAACTTGGATAAAGGTAAAGATGGCATTCTTATCAAAATTGCAGAGATACAGTAGATGCCTTTGCAGGTGTAGAAAATTTGATTCAGTTTAACAAAATGAGATGTAATATTGTGGTGAGTATTGCTGTGCTTGGTTTCATACTTGGTTTTAATAAATACGCTTTAAGGACTATACTCCCCAAGAACAAGACATGAAGGAGAGGCATGCTTAGATGGTTGTCTGTCTGAGGAAGGTCTAGGAGTGTTCATGGATTGCAGGCTCAATACAGATTAGCAGTGTAATGTAGGAGCCGAAAAATATCACGCGGTTTTGGGCCGTGTTAAGAAAGGCAGACCTTCCAGGAGTAGAGGTGATAGTGCTGCTGTACCCTGCTGTGGGCAGGTCACATGAGGGCTTCAGTTTACACATCTCAAATACACACGCTGCACAGCTTGTGGGCCTCATCTCCCTGGCTCTGCATCTCCAGTTTACTGCAGCCACGCACAGGGGTGATCACACCCTTGGTGTCATCATTACTTAACACACTACTGTCATTAGTCTTGTACACACCCGTCTGATCAGAGTCTCTCATTCTTGTCTTTCTTTTTGTGCTTCACTCCTCCTAAATTTGTCCTTGCTCACAGCCTCCAGTTCCTTCACTCTTCTCTCCTTTCCCAGACCATTCATTATCCTGTTCTGGGCTCACTTCCCCTCCTTCAAGATCTAGGCCAGATTTAACCAGCTCAACTTTACACTGTCCTGTCCCTGGAGTCCCTTGTACCTTTATCCATTCATTCCTCTAGAACTTTGCTGACAGCTTCACTTTCTATTCCTACATGCAGTCTGCTGAATAGGAATGAAGAAGACACACGGCTGTGCTAATTGGGTCCATTCTAAAGCTATCTTTTGTAATTTAGACTTAGCCCTCACTGCTACATGCCAGTTCATTTACCCTTTATGAATGGACTTTCTCACTTCTGTCATTATTTGATCCAAAGCTTCTCTCTTTCTTAGAGCTACCTAACCTACCCCCTCTACCTGGCTCTAAACAGAGACCTTCACTCCAAAATTGAGGTCATCCATTGTGAATGCCTTCTTATCTTCAATCCTATATTCTAAATCACCACCACATCACTCCCTACTGCTTTGCTGTGGTCTCTGAAGAAGTGGCCTTTTTTCCTAAATTCCATCACCTCTTCTCCTTGTATCCTCAATCCTTTCACTTTCCTATTTCCTCTGGGTTCTTGTCCCTTCTCATCCTTTCTCTCCTTATCTGTTTGTGTCTTCCTTACTGCTTACAAACATGCCTGTATCTCCTCCATTCTTAAAAACACAACAGTACAGAGCAAAAGAAACAAAGAACCTTCTACTTCACAGAGCTCAGATGACAGAGTAAGAAGTTAGTTTCTTTTACCCTCCCTCATTGACCTCTGAAAGCCCAGAAAATATCGACTTAGGAAAAACCCTGAGCCAGCAAAAAGATAAGGCACAGCAGTCTTCTACCCCAGGAATCTTGGGGATTAATGGGAAAGGCCCTGGGGGGGGGGAAGGGGAGCAGTACAGGACTGGAGGTGTCCCAGCAAGCCCCATCTCAGCATACGAGGGGGGAAGCTCCTGAGACCCAGGTTGGTGGAGCAGGCAGGTACCAACACCAGGACCTTCCTCCCCCCCCCCCACCCCCCTGCCCCGAGACTCAATACAGGCAGAGGAACGAGTAGACACACCAGCTCACAAAACCACCGCAGACAATGGCATTCTCCAGCAGTGAAATCACTGTGCCTCAACACAGCTCTAGGACGCACAACTCCAGAAGGCGGAGCTCCAGGCTGACAGACCTCCATCAGCAACGAAACATCCTTGTACAAGGCCCAGGCAAGCAGGAGCCAAACATTCAAGTGTAAGGCCCTGATGAGCAGGAAAAAAAACTTGGGTAAAAAAAATAGGCAAACACTGTGAACAAAAAGCAGAAATGGAAAATGACCATAGATTCTGATTTTGGGGAAACGGAAGATTAAGGCACAAATTCAGAAGCATTGTCAATATACCCACATCCGAAACCTCAAAGGGGAGTGTAAACTGATCCAAAGCTCAAAAAGCCTTCTTAAAAGAGCTCAAGAAGGATTTTAAAAGTCAAATAAGAGAGATAGAAGAAAAATTGGGAAAAGAAATGAGAGGTATGCAAGAGAGAGTCCATAGCTTGGAAAAGGAAGGACAAAAATTAACTAGGAAAAAAGTCCTTAATAAGTAGAATTGGCCAAACAGAAAAGGAGGCACAAAAAGTCACTGAAGACAACTCCTTAAAAAGTAAAATGGACCAAATGGAAAAAGAGGTACAAAATCTAATGGAAGAGAACAACTCATTAAAAATTAGAATGGGGCAAGTGGAAGCTAGTGACTATATGAGAGAGCAAGAATCAGTAAAACAAATAAAAACATGAAAAAAATAGAAGAAAACGTAAAATACCTCATTGGTAAAACAGCTGACCTGGAAAATAGATCCAGGAGAGACAATTTAAAAATTATTGGTTGACCTGAAAACCAGGATGAAAAAAAGAGCCTGGACAACATCCTTTAGGAAATTATCAAAGAAAACTTCCTTGAGGTCCTAGAACCAGAGGAGGGTGGTAAATTAGTCAGCCAAAGAATCCACCCATCACTTCCTGAAAGCGACCCCAAATTGAAAGCACCAAGGAATATTGTAGCCAAATTTCAGAATTGCCAGATCAAAGAGAAAATATTGTGAGTAGCCAGAAAGAAACAATTTAAATATCATGAAACCACTGTCGTGATTATGCAGGATATTGCAGCTTCTACATTAAAAGATTGGAGGGCAAGGAATACAATTTTCTGTAAGGCAAAGGAGCTTGTATTGCAACCAAGGATCAACTACCCAGTGAAACTGAGCATAATCTTTCAGAGGAAGAGATGGATGTTCATTGAAATAGGGGACTTCCAAATCTTCCTGATGAAAAGACCAGAGCTCAACAGGAAATTTGATCTTCAAATACAAGACTCAAAAGAGGCATAAATAAGTAAACAGGAAAGAAAAAAAAATAGGGGCAAACTGTTTACATCCCTACAAGGGAAGATGACACTTTTAACTCTTGAGAATTGTAATGTTATTATGGCATTT